TTTGACTTTCTCATCGAAGCAAAGATTCCATCTGCGAGACACTTGCTTAAGTCCATAAATGGACTTCTCAAGCTTACACACTCTATTCGGATGCTTCGGATCCACAAACCCCTCTGGCTGAGCCATGTAAACATCCTCAGCCAACTTTCCGTTAAGGAAAGCGGTCTTGACATCCATTTGCCAAATCTCATAATCATGAAATGCGGCAATTGCTAGCATCACTCTAATAGATTTAATCTTCGCAACTGGTGAGAAGGTCTCATCATAGTCAACTCCGGGAGTTTGAGTAAAGCCCTTCGCGACCAATCGCGCTTTATATGTGTGTACGTTCCCATCCACGTCGGTCTTCTTCTTGAAGATCCACTTGCACCCTACGAATCTTACGTTCGGGCACATAATCAACCAAATTCCAAACTTGGTTATCGTACATGGATTGGATCTCGCTATCCATCGCCTCTTTCCATTTCGCAGACTCCGGGCCTGCCATGGCTTCCTTATAGCTATTAGGTTCATCAAGATTTACTAGTGTACCATCACTAATATACATGTCCCCTTCGGTAGTAATATGAAAACCATAAAACTGGGGATGAACTCTAACTCTATCGGAACGTCTGAGAGGTAAGGATTTGTCAATCGGTTCAACCGGAGTTTCCTCCTCGGGTTGAATGCCAGCGGTAGAGGTTCCTTCATCTATCGACTCTTGAATCTCTTCAAGTTCGATTTGCCTCCCACTGTCTCCTTGGCTTATGAGTTCTCGCTCTCGGAAAACTCCTCTCCTCGCAACAAAAACAACATTGTCTTTCGGTCTATAGAAGAGATATCCAAAGGAAGTTTGCGGGTAGCCGATGAAAATACATCGCTCACTTCGAGGTTCAAGCTTGTCGTGAGTATCTCGTCTTACGAAAGCCTCGCAACCCCAAACCTTGATATGTGCCAACGAGGGAGCTTTCCCTGTCCACATCTCGTGAGGTGTTTTGGCAACCTTCTTAGTTGGGACTCGGTTAAGGATATGGTGGGCAGTCTCTAAGGCATACCCCCAAAAGAAGATAGGTAGTGAAGCACGACTCATCATAGAGCGAACCATATCCAATAAGGTTCGATTACGCCTTTCTGCCACACCATTCAACTGCGGTGTCCTAGGAGGCGTCAATTGCGAAACTATTCCACACTCCTTGAGATAATCGTGGAATTCAAGACTTAGGTACTCTCCTCCTCGATCGGATCGAAGCATCTTGATTTTCCTGCCCAATTGATTCTCCACTTCATTCTTGAACTCTTTGAACTTTTCAAAAGTTTCTGACTTTTGCTTGATTAAGTAGATATACCCATATCTACTATAGTCATCGGTAAAAGTCACATAGAAGCGGTTCCCATCCTTCGTGGTTGATCTAAAGGGTCCACATACATCGGTATGTATTAGGTCCAATAGCCCCTCACCCCTTTCACAAGTACTCGTGAAGGGTGACTTAGTCATCTTTCCAAGTAAACAAGACTCGCATGTGTCATCTTCCCTAAGGTCGAATGACTCCAACACTCCATCCTTTTGGAGTTGGGCTATGCGTTTCTTGTTGACATGTCCAAGACGACAATGCCACAAGGATGCTTTATCCATACTAGTGGAAGAATCAATATTCAAAACATCATTTCCTAAGTTATCAACAATCATAACAGTTTCATATATTCCATTACATGGTATAGCTTCAAAGTAAAAGACACCATTTAGATAAGCCAAAATAGAACCATTCTCATTATTAAAAGAAAATCTAAATCCTTGTCTATATAAACCATGAAATGAAATGATGTTTCTAGCCATTTCTGGCGAATAGCAACAATTGTTCAAATCTAAAACTAAACTATTCCTAAGCACTAAAGAATACACTCCAATCTTGGTCACAGGCGACGATCTTCTGTTCCCCATGATTAGATTGATCCTTCCTTGCTCCACATCCCTACTTCTTTTTAGTCCCTGCACATTAGAACAAATGTGATAACCGCAACCGGTATCAAGAACCCAAGAAATAGCATGATTAGAATCGTTAGATTTGATTGTGTATATACCTGCGAAAGATGGCTTGATCTTTCCTTCCCTGATGGCTTGCAGGTAATCCGGGCAGCTTCTCTTCCAATGTCCTATCTTGTGGCAGTGGTGGCACTCTGCCTCCTTTGGGTTGGAACAGGGCTTAGAGGGATCAACTTTGGTCCCACTAGAAGAGGAACCATCTCGGGCTTTCACCTTTCGATAGTTATTCGATGAAGCTTTCCTCTTCTTTCCCTTCCCTTGACCAATAGCCAAGACAGGAGCAGCGGATGGATTGGGAGTTGGTGCAACAGACTTGTCCTTGAAATTTCTCTCAGCAACCCTCAAGAGACCTTGGAGTTTGCTTAGGGTGACCTCCTCTTTGTTCATGTGGTAGGTCATCCTAAATTGGTTGTACATCGGAGGCAAAGAGTGAAGCACCATGTCGATCGCCAAGTCTTCGCCGAAGTCAACATTTAACTTGCGAAGGCGGTCGACATACCTTTGCATCTTTTGCAGGTGCACGGTAAGAGATTCTCCATGACCCATCTTAGCGGAGATCATGTTAGTGAAAATCTCGTAACGCTCTTGTCTCGCGTTTTGCTGGTACCTCTCCAACAAGTCTTGATGCATCTCGTATGGATACATGTCCTCGTAGGACTTTTGGAATTCGGAGTTCATGGTGGCGATCATGATGCAATGTACTTTCGTTGCATCTCGCTCATGAGTTTCAAAGGCGGTGATTTCGGCGGGAGTAGCAACTTCGGGGTTGATTTTCTCGAGCTTCTCATCGAGGACATACTCTTTATCCTCATAGCGAGCAATGGTGCGAATGTATCTTATCCATTCGCTAAAGTTCGTTCCATCGAAGGTGACCTTTTGGCAAAGGCTCATCAACGTGAAAGAACTAGCAGCAGCGTTGTTTGCATTTGACATCTATAGAAAGGACAAAGATAGATTAGAACAAGAATCCCTAATTATCACCCAATAAGAAAAATTAGGGCTAGGATCCAACAATAACATTTACATACTAGAAAAGGGATGCCGTAATCTAATATGCAAATAAATTGAAGGTAAGTGAATGACGATTCACTAATTCTCCATTACAAAACTTAAACTATTAGTCCTAAGTGTTTTTTGTTTTTTTTTTTAGAATTCCTAGGTTCGGATGAGATTCATTGAACTATTCAATGGCATGTTTAAATCTCGATATGCCCCTCTTGTTTGTGACTGGGATGCCGAGGATCACAAAGCGGGTGTGAATTACCATGCAAATTCACATGGTGCCTTCATTGTAACGATCACCTATTCGATGTGCCGGTAAACCACACACGCTCCATCGAACTATGATAAACAATGAATCACCCTTTGTCACCTTCGCTTAGAACCAATTAGTGTGCCGATAAACCACACACGCTCCACTAACTTCTTAGCAAGGTGCAAAGTGTAATTTCATGGGATTGCATCAATTCACTTTTCCTAAAGTAACTAAGATTGGGAAATTTTTAAAACGTGTAGTTACTTTGTGTTTCTTATTATACTTTTAATGAGAGGATGAGGTTGCCCTATCCTACCCGTTCGGCTAACGACCCTCCACCAATCAAGCAAGCGGTGGGTGTGAGTGTACACCCATTAAGCGCCATTTTATAGGCCGCAACCTTATACCCACCTTATAGATCGGCTTCGTGAATGAGGCCTACTAGCGGTAAGACTAGCATTTAGTTATACATATATATATTATTCTAGTAATATCATATAAGTATAGGGTTGTATTTTAAAACCTTTTAAAATCTAGGGTTTGAAATTTAAGTTGTCTAAATTAGAACTTTTAATCACAAATATAAATTTCAAAACTTTAGGGTAGGTTTTAAACATTAAAAACATGGAGGATCAAATAACAAATAATTCCAATTAACAATTAATATCCTAATTATCTTTATTTGATTTATCTAAGATTTCTTTCAAGATAATTATCAAAATAATTAATCATTATCATATAAGGAAATTAAATATTTTATTAGATGATAAATATCTTTAATTAGATCAAGATAATAGTCATATTTATAAAAAAATCGGATTTAGATTGATCTAATATGATTAAGGTAAGTTTCCATAAGATAATTATGAAAAAATCCCGAATCTGGCCATTCCTGACGCCTGGACTCGCCGAGTCACAAGGGGACTCGCCGAGTCAGGCCTACTCACCGAGTCCACCTTGGAACTCGCCGAGTCAGTGACTCATAAACCCAAAAATCGAATTTTGCAGGTTTGTTACAGTTAATCAAGCAACAATTTAAAGAAAACCAAGCTAGGCTCTGATACCACTGATGGGTTTTAGCCATAAGAACTTTCCTATGTGCGCATGCAAAACCCTATTGCTCGGATCTAGGCTTTCTAATTAAACATGCTTTGATTCCAAGACTTCTAATAGCTAATTAGGTTAAAAAACAATGATGAAATAGATCTAGAATCATACCTTTGAGTTCCTTGTTGATCTTGTTTGTCTTGGAGCTTCTAGAGTCACAAATGTCACTCCTCTAATGGCTTACAAACACCAATAGCAAGCAAGATGATTTAGGAGATAGGATAGGGGAGGAATTCGGCCAGAGGTTCCTTGCTTTAGGTTGTGTGTCGAATTCCCTCACCCCTAGGGTCTATTTATACTTGTAGACTCCTTAAGGATTACCACCTAAACCCTAATTGGATAATCTTCTCTTAAGGCTATCCAAATCCATTCCATAGATAACCATATGGATGATTTTGGCTTATCCAAGCCCTAGAAATCGTCCATCCTATCTAGGATAAGGATTTACAGTCTAAAGTGTAACTATCAAACAATTGACAGTTTATACCCTCTTATTTAATTAATCTCTTTAAGTCACCAAATTAATACCAATTAATTTATGACTTATATTAATCAAATAGCCATATATTATTCCTTATAATATTTACTCTCTCTTAACAAATCATCCTTCAAGTTGCTATGGTGAAGGCAACCCAAAAGGACCATGCACAACCGGATATAGTTATAGCCTTAGACACTATTCCAACAGAAAATCCATGTGCTGATTTTGAAATTGGGGACAAAACTTACCACACAAATGAAGTTGAATTTGAGGATGGTAACAAGGATGGAGAAGATCGATGGGCTGAATTTGAAAGTGGGGACAAATTTGAGGACATAAATGAAGATGAATTTGGAAGCGGGGACAAATTTGGGGATGATAGTGGTTATGAATCCAGTGAGTCCGATGACATAGACTTTTATGTTGACAATGACAACATCTTAGATGATGTAGAAGTTGACATGAATGATTTCAATGATAACATTGATATGGATGCAGAGTGGGTTGGAGGTAAGAATGGCAATGTGGTAGAAGAAGAGAATGAAGTTGGGGAGCTTAATGAAGTACTAAATAATGAGGTTCTTATGTCAGGCTCATCTTCGGATGAAGGACCAGTTGCTCAACGAAAGAAGACCATCAAAGCTATCTAAAGAGCTCACGAGAATGATGAAGCAAATGTTGCTGAACCATTTTATATCCTTCAAACCTTTAATACAGCCCAAGAGTTTAAAGAAAGAGTTAAACTCCATGCTATTGAGACAAGAAGGGAACTTGAATTTGAAAAAAATGACAAGAATAGGGTAAGAGTTGTGTGTAGGGGGACAGTACCAAAACTAGGAAACTTAGACAATAGTGGGGAACGTCAACAAGAAGTCAACAATGAAGATGAAGAAAAGTGCCCGTGGAGCCTCTATGCTAGTAAATGGAAACGTGACATAAACTGGATGGTCAAATCTTACAACAAAGAACACCGGTGTCTCCAAACGCGGAATGTTAAAGCTTGTACTTATAAGTTTCTCGCCAAACAAATTGCAAGTCAGGTGGAATCTAACCCAACTATTCCAATTCGTGCTTTACAAGAACAACTACAACGTGATTACCAAGTGGGTCTTTCCAAGATGAAGGTGTTTAGGGCTAGAACTGAAGCTCTCAATCAGGTGCGAGGGGATTATGTTGGTCGGTATGCTTTATTGAGAGATTATGTTCTAGAACTTCAAAAACATAACCCAGACACGACTGTGAAGATTGATGTAGAGAGTGAACCAAATCCAAATGCAGAAACTAGAACTTTCAAGTGCATTTATATATGTCATGGTCCTTTAAAAAAGGGATTTGCTGCTGGAACAAGAGACTTTCTTGGTCTCGATGGTGCTTTTATGAAGGGTCCATACCCAGGACAAATACTTTCAGCTGTGGTAACCTTTTTTCATATGAACTACATTTATATCCATTGAGTTATATTATAAAAAGTTGTATTTTAGGTTAATTGTGAAATATCTACTTATGTAGGGAATTGATGGTAACAATGGAACATATCCATTAGCTTATGCTGTTGTGGAATCTAAGAGTACCAACTCATGGACTTGGTTTCTAACTTGTCTAGGGGATGATTTGGGTTTAGGAACCAACTCGAATTTTACATTTATGACAGACAGGCAAAGGTATTAATTCGAAGTTGTTTACATTTACATTTAATATATTATGTATGGTATACTTTTAATACATATTTTCCATGTATAGGGAGTGTTACCTGCTATAGCAAAGTTGTTTCCATGCGTTGAGCATCGTTATTATCTTCGTCATATCCATGAAAACATGAAAGCTAGTTGGAGGGGAAAGCAATTCAAAGACCTGCTATGGGATTGTGCAAAAGCATCTACTGTTCAACAGTTTCAACGATCAATGGAGGAAGTAAGAAATCTTAATAATGATGCGTATGAGTGGCTTAAAAACATTCCTCCTCAACATTGGTCTCATTCACACTTTACAGGTAGATTTTAATGTTAGATCATTAGTTTGTAACAAAGACTGATGCATTATTATTGATTGATTAGGTAGAGCTCATATAGATGCTATGCTTAACAATATGTGTGAATCTCTGAATAGCAAGATTGTTGAAGGTCGTGATGTACCAATCATTACATGTTTGCAATACATTAGAGAGTACTTAATGAAGAAAATTGTAACTGTTCAAAAGGAAATTGATAAAGCTACAAGCCCCTTGACTCCCACAGCTACCATATGGGTTGGAAAATTGAAGAAAGAGGCTACACAATTAAGGTCTGTTTTCTGTGGTAATGGGAAATATCAAGTCATTAAAAATCTTATGGAACAGTTCGTGGTAGATATGGGCCAACAGACATGTTCATGTAGAAGGTGGGAACTAATAGGGATACCATGTGCACATGCAATAGCAACTATGTGGGAGATGTTGAAGAACAAAGAGATTGATAAGATACCAGAACATTGGGTGAATTGAACATATTGGTTATAAACATGGAAGAATATATACTCTTTTACAATTCAGCCAATCAATGGAAGGAACATGTGGGAAAAGTCTACATGCCCTACAACCTTACTCCCTCTAAAACACCATGTGCCCATTGGAAGACCAAAGAAAAAAAAGGAGATATGTCATGGAGGTTGAGGATTTGGTGAAAGGTAACCAATTGTCAAGAGCACAAAAGTCAGTGACATGTTCTAAGTGTAACAAAAGTGGTCATAATGCAAGGACTTGCAAGGGACAGAAGGCTGGTGGTGCTGGAAGTGCTAAAGTGAAGGCTGGTGGATCACAAACTTTAAGGAATGTTGGTGGTGCTAGAAGTGCAAAAGTGAAGGATGGAATTGCAAAAGTGAAGGTTGGTGGTGCTGGAAGCGTAAAAGTGAAGGATGGAAGTGCAAAAGTGAAGGCTGGTGGTGCTGGAAGTGCAAAAGTGAAGACAGGTGTTAGCAAAAAAGGGAAAGGTGTCCCATAAATGTGGCTTTTAGGTGCTTATGTATTGTTTTGGTTGATGTTGACAAACATAGTCTTAATTTGAACTAGGTTATATGTTGTCATGGTTGTGTTGATTGCTTTTGAAAAACAATGTTGTAATTATAGTATCTAGTTTTAGCAATGTACTTTGCCTTTGACAAACAATGTAATCTTTTGATTGCTTTTGGCATTGCTTTTATTTTGGTCACCTATTTTGCTCATTTTTTTTGACAAACAATGTAATCTTGTGATTGCTTTTAACATTGTAGTTTTACATGGATGGTCCAGTATACCTCACAAATTGTAAAATACAATGAAGTTCAACAAAATATCATTTTCATTGATAAAAGGGTATACCAATAAGATTCATTACAATGCATTGATAAAAGGGTACCATTGATACAAATAATATTCATTACAAAGCATTATAAACAACAACAACTACATCAAATGATCTTAAACCTAACACTACAACTTGTAAACAATTATCCCAAAAAACAAAACCCAACTGATTATTAACAATGTCTTCAGATTCTGATTTTGGACCTCAAGTTCTTGAATTCGGACTTCAAGCCCCTCATTTTTTATCTCCGCCTCATCACCATGCTTTTCATCATCTACCCACTTAATAAAGCCAGACCTTGGTCCCTGTACTGTCAATGGCTTCGATTAGCACATACACATACTAGGGTTAAAATAGAAAATCCCCCAAAACAATACAAGATCATACCTCTAATGGGCAAGCATAAAATGCCCTACCTGGGTTTCTTTTTGTAGTTGAAGTTCGTATAACGCCTATCGCACCACAATTGCATTTCACCATTTTTAATCGGCTGTGAGAAGAAAGGTGGGAGAAGAACACTGCGATTGAGAAAGAAATGAGGGAGGAAGACGAATAAACCATATTTAAAGACCGGGTGATATGAAAAGACAAAAATACCCCCAACGTGCTTTTCACGTGGGGGGTTTCTAACCACAAAACAGACGGAATGTTAAATGAGGGACCAGACGGGTTACCAATTTTAACATTAGGGATCACCCGAGTTAAAAATCTTGCTCAAGGACTAGGCGTGCAGGTTACCCCAAACCACATGGACCATCCGTGTAATTTACCCTCTTTTTTTAAGATACTCATATCTATATGCATTTATATTTTATTTATACGCAAGCAATATACGAGAAATGAGAAAAGATGCTCAAAATAAACGTGATTACCTAGTCACTATCACTATCCTTAAAAATTATTTGTGAGATGGTGCAAGGGTCCGTGAACGTTGAAAGTTGAAACCTTCGATCTACGCTGCTTACCTTTTTGACCCTTTCGTCACCCCTCGGAATCTCTCTTTTGATTAGATGCACATATGCTCATCACTCTCTGAGTGACTTCTTTCCATCCCCCACTCCGGCTTTACTCCATTATTGACTCACTACATGAAAAAGATTCTCCATCACACCTGCAATCACAGAATACATTATTGCTAATACGTTAGGCCCACTTCCCTTTTTCTCTGTAAAATTCATTTATGGAACCGTAATTTCTATGTTGTTTCACGAATCGGCTTCTCCAATTTCTCCAACTTCAGCATAGATCCATATTTGCTTTCAGATTTGAGTGTAACCAGACATTTCCCTCATTTGATTGAAATTAACGATAAGGGTACACTTCGATTTCTCCTCGAATCTAAGACGGAAAAAGCAATTGGTGTTTTTTATGGTGAAGACTCGCTTATCTGAGGTGTGTATCCATTTCAACTGTGTATATGAGCTAGTATAATTTTGGGAAAACATTAGGCTGTAGCTTTGAATCCTTTGATGCTAGTTGTAGTAATAGTAAATGTAGTTTCAACGATTTCTGGATCATTTTTATTGATTTCAGAGGCATGACTACAATTAGAAGAACATTGTCTCCGATTCCTAGACCGGGGACTTTGCTAGGTGGAGAAGCATGTTCTGTTTCTTCTCCATTGTCCAAGTGTTCATCCTGTGATCAGGATTCGGTCCCCAGTTCATCTTTCACTTCAACAGAATATGCTTTTTTATATCATTTTCAATCTTTTGTGCTAAATCTATTCCCGAAAAGAACTTGTAGGGCATTAGAAAAGCAAAAACCAAAAGGGAATGTTTGGAGGAGGTCGCTTTTCCATTTCTTTATATGTTTCCTCGTTGGAGTTTTCGTAGGGTTTACCCCAATTGTTTCCATAAAAACATCCACCATTCTCGCTTCAAGAAACCAAGATTTTTCCTTCGAGGAAATTGAAAAAGTTCAATCACACGATGTCAATCATGTGGAAGCTTCAGCGGCTAATAATATCACCAATGATATTGTCGTTCTTCAAAAGATCGAGGGTTTTGAAACGGATTTGGGTAAACTTTTGATAATTGTAACCCCAACATATCCTAGGATGTTTCAGGCATATTACCTTAATCGATTGGCTCATACATTAAGGTTGGTGGAGCCGCCATTGTTGTGGGTGGTTGTGGAAATGAGCAGCCAAACGGGGGAAACTTCTGAGTTATTGAGGGGAAGTGGTGTTATGTATAGGCATCTTGTATGCAAAAAGAACACAACAGAGATAAAAGATTTGAGAAATGTGGGTTTATTACATATTGAAACACATAAGCTTGATGGAATCGTGTACTTTGCAGATGATACTAATATCTACTCAAGTGAACTTTTCCACCATATGAGACAAATCAGGTACATGGCTTTAACGTTATATTTTACGAAAATAGCATTACATTCATGTAAATTTATGTTAATTTTAAGCTTTTGAACTTGAAGGCGATTTGGTACTTGGGTTGTGGCTGAACTAAAGACAAGCACAAGGGTAGGGACATTTGTGGGGCCCATTTGTAATGGGACGCAAGTTATTGGATGGCATACAAGTAATGTTATGAGAAGATTCCATAGATTTCATGCGGATTTATCAGGATTTGCTTTTAATAGCACTATACTTTGGGATCCAAAGAGATGGCAACGTCTTACTCTTGAACCGATTAGGTTTCTTGATACTTTCCAAGTTAGTTTCTTTGTTTTTCTTTTCGGTTAAATGCAATAAATAGCAATGTACTTTTATCCTTAATGATTATCTTAATGAAACAAGTTTTCTTAGAGGAACTACTTCCATGCTTCCCCAAATCTGATTATTTTGACCCTAAATAACCATAAATTAAGACTGATTATTGTGACACATTATGATTCACAGGTGAGCACTTTGATTGAACAAATTGTGGAGGATGAGACACAAATGGAAGGAATAGCAGAGGATTGCTCAAAGGTATTCGTTTGGCATCTTCCTATGGGATCATCATCATCATCATCTTCCCATCCTCAAAAATGGTCATTTAACACTAATCTTGATGCTGTTCTTCCACTTTGATGCCATTATCCAGCTTCGTCTGTAAGGTATAAGCTTAATCTATTTGTATAAGCTTAACATTGTACTTTGAAAATATATAAAGACATTTTTATTTATTGCATATAACTCTAATACAAAATTGAAATCCTCCTGTTTAACCATTCCATATCATTCTTTTTTTTTGTTGGCATGAAAATTGATATTCATTCGAATCTACTTGTATTGCAGGGAAGATTGCTTGTGAACTCTTGTTTACTATAATCACAAACATCATTAGGGTTTGTATCTTGGAAGCAATATTTTCATATGTAGTCGTATGATTTCATTTTGTGATTTTGTTTTTTTGGTTTGTAAGATGAGGCGACAATTGCTGTATAGTTACTAACTACCACTCGATTCCTCTTTGGCTACATTTTTCACAAAGAAGCGAAAAGTTGCTAGGAATTTGGGTAGAATGAGTTGTGTTTGGAATGATAAACAAGTTGTTCAATGTCTGTGTTTGTCATGTATTGGACTGAGATTTAGACTGATGAGATACAAATTACAGATCTTTGTCCCACCAAAAAAGGGAAAGATTCTTGCTTATTGAGGAGCTAAAATGAAGATTTATTGAAAACTTGGGAGCAAAAGTTGTAAAAGAAATTGTGGGGGAGTCGATGTAAATAATATAAAATGGAAGCGTCAAACTATATATATAATATATAACAATTAGGTGTATGATCGTATGTTATTTATAATAAAAGCATGATAATTTTGGTGAATTTAGCCTGGTGTAAAGGATATTGAGATTTCAGGAGGTCTAATTGTAAGCTTACACACCATAATCATCATATTAAAATAGATAACAACACATATTCGACACTTCCTTACATTGCATATTCGATTTGCCAACTTTAAAAATTATAATAGAATAGTGGACTATTTTTTCATACCCAAAGTTGTATTTCTTAATATGGTTTCTTATGTACGCTTTAATTGTTTCATACTAAAAATATGTATAGAGAAAATCAAAAACTTAATTTCTTTTATATAGTCATTAGTTGAAGTTAAGAAGTTCTAGGGGTGAGCAAACCCGAACCAAGAAACCAGAAAACCGACCAAACCGAAACCGAAAAAACCGAAACCGAAGCAAAACCGACGGTTTGGGTTTTGAATTTTTAAAAACCGAAATATCGGGTTCGGTTTCGGTTTTTGCATTGAAACCGACCCATCCAACCCGAGAAACCGACTCCACGGTTGAGTGTCATGTTTGTGTATATATAATAATATGAATATATATAAGCTAAGGTGCGAATTAGATAAGCAAACATCGTCTTGGCCCAGCAGTTGAGCGTCTTCCCCTTGAACCTGATGTCAAGGGTTTGAATCTTCCTCCTTGCCAAAATGTATGAAAGTTACGCATGTTTCACCCTTAATATAAGGAATCAGTACATCTATCTTGCCCCATATTAGTTTACTTGACTTAATATTGGGTTCGGGTTTAAACCCGAAACCGACCCATGTAGAAATTAAAAACCGAGAAACCGAACCGACGGTTTGGGTTCTTGGTTCGGTTTTTATTTTTTTGAGAACCAATTTTATTGGGTTGGGTTTGGTTTTAGGTCAAAACCGACCCAAACCGACCTATGCTCACCCCTAAGAAGTTCTGTAGTTTAAGATAAATATTTAGTTTGAACCACTAAGAATTACATATATATTACTCGTATACCACGCTTTGCAAATGATTAAAAATGTATGCTTAAACTTATTGAAATATCAAATATGAACACTTTAAATCTAATAATATAAGTATACAATAAAAAGATATCATAAAAGACTAGTCGGTGGTACTTACCTATAAAATAGTTGTTTTTTTTTTTTTTTTTTTTTTTTTTTTTTTTTTTTTTTGGAAATTGTTGTCTTGATGTTCATCAAAACTTATTAAGTTTTTATGATGTTATAATCAAATTATGTTTAGATTTAACAATTTTCTTGTTTTTTTCTTTTAATTTCTTGGTGATTTGTTGTCCATATGTTTTTTTTACTTGTTGACTTGTTGATTTTAGAGTTTTTTCTCCTTTAAAAAAATATATTCTTTAAACATTATTTTTGTGACCTTAAGTGTCTTGGTATTAAATCCCTAGCAATTTAACCACGAGAAATGTTTTAATTTGTAAGTTGTTATTGAGTAATATTTTTGATGAAATAAACATGTTTGTTTAACATGTAGGTTCTTAAAATGCTTATAGTTATTTAATACTGCACATATTATTTGGTTAAATGGTATCTTTCATGTTCGTTAGGAAACACGAAGTTAATAAATTTTGTCAACCTCAATATTCGCACGAGCGGGTGGGAGTAAATGATGTTTGAAAACAATTATACAACACATATTCGTAGTTGTAATCATAGAGTTTGTCGTTTGTATTACTTTGAGAAAGTCTTGTATAATAAGTTTATGGATTAGCAATAGAGTTTGTCTAGTCATCTCATATGTATCGCATAATTATCGCACAATTATAATTGTGATGTGTGTAGACTAGACTCACAATAATAAGTCCATGATAGGATGTGTAATAAAGTCTAGTTAGGTATGTACCAAATATAGTCGATTAGAAACAATTAGTTTAAAATTGTCGTTTGTAAGATATTTGCCTATATAAGGCTTGTTCTACTAATGAAAAAAAAATTAAATTTGTTTTCTGTAAAACTTGAAATTTATATTTCTGAATAGCAAAGTGCATCCAACATTTAGATTCACACCCTCCGTTATAATCACAACATTCAGGTTAGTCTATCTATTTATCTTTATTATTATTTCACACATTCGTTTTATCCAAAACGTGAGGTAATGATGTGATTTGATTTAACTATTCTTCCAATCAAGGTTACATAGGGTTACAGTTCTTGTAATAGGTGTTTATTTCACTTAGGGATAGACTGAGATAAATTTTAACTTTCCAAAATGATAAATTTGTTGAAAGTCAATTCACCATTTTATATGGAATATTTTAAGTCAATTTATTTTATTTTGAATAAAACTATATATTTTTTCACAAGTTTTTCTTCAATTGTAGAAAAAATGTGATGATTATAGGTTGATTGTGTGAATCAAGTGACTGATAATTTGATTAGGTCACTTGAAGAATATCAATTTTTTATTTTTCTTTAGAAATAATGTATTTTGTTAACATGTTTTTTAAGTTTAGGATTGAGGAAGGGTGTTGAGAAATAAAAATAAATCTTGATTAATCATAAACTTGAAAAATGTGGTAGTTAGAAGTTTTAAATTTGTTTGTTTGGAAGTATAGGATATAAATTGTTGAAAATAAAAGATATGGCTATTAATGACAAGTTGTACAAAGTTGGAGGTTACCGAAGCTATAGAAAGAAAATAGATGGACTACTTTTATAATTTCTTGATTAAATTGGTGATTGTCTTTGGCAAGTCTTGGTTTGTCTCTTTTATTCAAACCCTAAGCCTCTCTCCCTGCTTTTTACTCTTCTTTCCATTATTGTATTTTGGCAAGTCTTGATTTGTCTCTTTTATTCAAATGTCACCGCTAAATTGTTGCCGTTAAAGGTATTACCGATAACTTGTCACCGTCATTAGATCGCCGCTAGTAGTATGTCGCTGAAACACTTTTATCCTCAGTAGTAATAACTATCGTCACTGACAGCCTTTGTCGTCGGTATTAACGATCACTGGCATAATGTGCGTCGTCGGAACTATAGTCCCTGATGCTATACGTCGCCGACAATAAGCAGTGTCGTCGATAATTCTATTTATTTATTTATTTTTAAATAATTCTGCTAAAGTATTTAATAAAAATCTATAGATTGCAATACTAAAATTGTGTAAAATACATAATACATAATCCAAATTGCATTTAGTCATTACATAAACTCCTAATTAATAAACATCAATTACATACTTAATTAATAAAAATGTGACGATAAAGTATTTAGTAATTAACAAACATTGAACATACTAAACATAAACTAACTAATCATCATTGTCGTCCTCTGGCTCATTATTCTCCTCATTATCACCCGCAACATCCTCTTCATCTCCCTCACCTCTGCCACAACCTTTTTTCCACATCGATTGAAACTACTTAAAAAGTTTCTTGCTATAATATCATCAACGGGATTGTACACCTAGAAAACAAATATAAACATTAATAATATCATTCTAATTGACAACATAACAAAACAACAATAAATATAAACCAAACTAGATAACAAACTTCCAATTACCAAAAATACCAAATACCAAACTAACATACACCAAAAAAACTTCTAATTACCAAAAATATCAAATACCAAAGTAACATAAACCAAACAAACTTCCAATTACCAAAAATATCAAATACCAAATTAAATAACGCAAACTATATAACAAACTTCTAATTTCCAAAAATATCAAATACCAAACTAACAACATACCAAACTATCAAGTTATCAATATACAAAAATACATATCAAAATTTAAATTACCAAAGATACCAAACTAACATAAACTAAAATACCAAAGTAAGAGCATAAACCAAACTTCCGATTACCATAAAATATACCAAATAATCAATGAGTATCAAAATTACCAAATTAACATGCATTTATCAATCTTTATATGAAACTTTGAAATTAAAAATAAATTGGTTTATGTTACCTCCATTTGTTAAGGTTGTGAGGATTCTTCCTTACAATTGTTTGAGGGTCTACTAGAAGGCATACACCCAATCCTCATTTGATATGTCCTTAGAGCACCTAACACATTTTTAAATGACGCTATCTCAACCGTTGTTGTTAGGTTAGTTTCTTCGGGTAAACCTTATGTTTGCATTTCTATCTCCGACGCTATTTCATTATGTATGTTCCAAAGATAATATATTAATATCTCTTTCAAAAAAGATAATAGATTAATATATATATATATATATATATATATATATATATATATATATATATATATATATATATATATATATATATATAAGAAAATTATACTTTAGATAACTACTTACATATTGTTGCTCGCATGATACGTTGTCGAAATTCTCATTTCTATCGACATGAGCTTTACGAAAAGTTTGAAGTCTACTCCAGTTCTTTGGACATTAAAAATTAGATTAGACATTTATAAATAAACAATTATATATATATATATATATATATATATATATATATATATATATATATATATAGAGAGAGAGAGAGAGAGAGAGAGAGAGAGAGGATCATTTGAGAACTTATAGTTTCCCGAGAACCCGAGAACTAAAAGTGTAATGCTGGATAAAAAAAAAAAAGAATGGTCAAGATGCATAATAGCGTTTTTGTAATTAATCAGAAAACTAAAAATGAGGGGGCATATCAATTAAATGAGACATGGGTAATATAGGAAACAAATATATAACTAAATAATATCTTAAATCTATTTTTATTAATCGACATATGTTAAATCTGTGAACTAATTATTTTCCCCAGATCTCTTTCTCAATCTCTCTCGTTGTAGTTCTCTCAATCCCGCAATATGCTCTAATCGACCACTCATATGTATTCATCGTTGTTTTCTCCAGATTAGGATGTTAATGGAAATCTGAAGACGGAGTATGATAGATCAGAAAGCATTTTTGTACAATCATGATTTATATTCAGAGAATAGACTCGTATTGATGAAATCGGGGAGTTTGGAAAGTTCTTCGATTTCAACACATAATTTTAGATATCCAAGTATATCGATTTGTGTTATTGCATTAATTTCGATCTAGTGGATTGTAACAGAAGTAATATTAAATTGTTGGTTATTTTAATT